TATTGTACCACAGGAGTCTTATCCCCATCTCCTTTCATTAGCCCCGTCCCATCAGGTTGGAAACCATTCAGTAGAGATTTTACCGTCCCCCACCCTGTCTGGAACAAAGCTCCCTCTTGAAAGCTTGTAAGCCAGTCACTTCTTGCCTTTGTAACCAACCCATTTTGGGTAGCCAATGTCTAAGTTGCCCATCCCTGTCAACCCTGTGTACCGAGGGTGTGGGAGTGGCCCTCACTATAAAGATTTGTTCCCTTTTTTGAGCTCCTACATCCATAAGTATCACATCCATAAGTATAGGTAAAGTTCATCAAATTGTAGCGAGTTACTCTTTTTTTTCCTCTTCTTTCTTCTTCTAGTCAAGTTCTGTTCATTCAAGATAGGTCAAGTGGGTACTATCTGCAAGTATGGGCATTCTTGTGAATCTCCCCTCACTTCATATCAGCTGGATGCTTCCCTCTCTACTCTAGTCCTCTGTGGCGTGGCCTCTGGGCCTAGGAGTCCCCAGGTCTTGCCACACTGCTAGCCAACCAGGTCTCCACCCAGGTTCACAGGAGTCTATTGAATGTGGTTAGACTTAGCTCACAACTTCATTGCTGTTTTTCCCCTGTTCCCCTTATTGGTGACTAGTGTGGTCACCAGCCAGGCCACATACCTGTTCATGTATTCCCCTTACTGATAGCCTCTTAATGTCATAGATTAGGATCCCTACCTTTGTTCCTACTGATGGGACTAATTCCATGGACTTTTAGTTTTAGGATTTATATTTAAGTCTTGATCCATTTTGATTTAGTTTTAGTATATGGTGTAAGGTCTGGAATCTTGTAGAATTAACTAGAAAACTTTTACTGAGAAGAGAAACACTAACATTTTTTGAGAAGAATAACATGGTGAACATGGAAGAGAGAAAGGACGAAGAACAGAGTCAGAAGACCAATAGCCCCCATATTAGATTGATGTCCTTTGCCTTCTAAATCCAACCCTAAAATATTGTGGTCATCAGCTCCAATTAAATAATAATGCTTATGTTTTATCTTTTTAACACAAAGGTACATCCCCTATATTCATGTTTTGGGAAACTATTAAGCCTTCTTCTACCCCACATCATGTGTTCATGGCCCTTTGTGTTATATGAGCCAAGGTGATTCACCATATGGATGGAATTATGCTTCTACAGGTGGCATTTGGTGAAGGCCTTAATTGTTGTATTTGCTGTTGTTCAATCCCTATAGATAAAAGATAAGTAAAAATTAGTGCATTTGAAATCATTTCCTTATTGCAAATTTAGATTTGGATGGAGCCAGCCAACGGAGTTATTCTGAGAATCTGTCTTACGGTGAAGATGACCCCATATCTGCCCACTCACAGTCCACATGTGAGAGAGGGAATACCAGGTACCATGGCACATCTCACCAAGAAACCAGTGCAAATCGCAGCGTCAGTCGCCAGTCCACAGAGGGCAGTTTGGAGATGGAGAGAGCATTTAATAACCGAGGATTTGAAGATTCCTATGCCACAGACAGCTCCTCAGTCTGGAGTCCAGAGGCAAGTTATTTCTCTTCTGTGCTTTCCTTGCTTGCATGGTACTCTTTTATTTCTACTTCTTAATAATATGCAGTTCTACTCTGAAACATGTGGGGTCACCATGGGTTGGAAATGACTTGATGACAAAACAATTTTTGTCTTCAGAGAGTATTGCCATAAAAATCAAAGAACTAAGATGCCTGTAGTATAAATCTTTTATACAAATAACCAAAACCCTATGTGTATCAATAAAAGAATCGTAAATAAATTTCATTGGTAATAATAAAAAAAAAGGAAAAAGACATAATGGATTCAGCAACAATCAGGCTTCTTTTTACATTAAGGGATTATTTTGTTCTTTAGATAGAATGATTTATTTCTTTCAGGCTTTCAGTTAAGGGAGTCTTGTTTTCATCTGAAATGTTCAGTTATGATTATTTGAATATGAGAATTATCTGAACATTGAACTAAAATAAAATGGTCTCTGAATAAAATATTATAAGGTATGGTGAAGACCATTCAATAAATTCGTTTCTGTTAGTTAATTCAAGGTCTAGGAACTGCATTAATCTGTAATGACCCTCTGATCAGAAATGTTTCTTCATAGAATAAATCTTTGATAAAAGATGCTTCTTGTAAATTTCGTTCTCAGTTGAAGCTCAGCGCAGAGTATGCCTAACCACTACGAGATAGCCAGAACCTGGAGACGAAGATGATAGCAATGACCATTTATTGAACAATTTCTATGTGATAGACATTGCATTAAAGATTTTATTGCATTAGGAATTTATGGTTATTTCTTCATTAGCTAGAACCTTTCTATTATGATTGCATGTCATTGGAAGGTGTTAATAGTGGAGTCCCTGGGTGGAGTCATGTGTAAGTGCTTAGCTGCTAATCGAAAGGTTTGTGGTTCAAATCCACCCAGTGGTACCGTGGAAGAAAAGCCTGGCAATCCTTTCCTAAAAGATTGCAGTCATTGAAAACCTTACAAAGTGCAGTTCTTCTCTGAAGCATGTTGGAAATGACTTGATGACAATGGGTAAGAGTGGAGTTCAAGTTTAAGATTAATTTTAATGAAGCAAGTCATAGGCATAGAAGAATTCAAAGTCATGTCATCATGTCATTTGAGGGGAGGAGAAGAATGAATGGATTTTGTTAGCATCATTTATTTAAACAGAAAGATTCTTTTATTAGGACCTGGACTGCCACATACACTAAATACCCATTGAAGGGAAGAAAACCAAAAGATAACAGAAAGCATATTCCAAGGCCTTACTTTTAACACATGGGGTTTTGCAGAACGTGTGGACAGAAGTGTGTACATGGCAATGTATTTGATCAGGGGGACTGAAGATGGTCACTCACATCCATGGAAGCAACTTGTTAAAAGTAGCATACAGAGGTTCCACGACCATTAATTAACCAAATAGGTTTTGTAAAAAATACTTATTTCTTGTCAGTTCACTGCTAAGAGTCATACCAAATCTCACACAGTTGCTTTCAGATATTATTTTTAGCTGTCTTGACACACACACACAGATACACACACACAATATATATATGCCATGTCCCCTTGTTAATTGTGCCATTGGGCTTTGAATTGCCTTCTCCAGGTATCCTTCCATTTGTCTCCCTCATGGAGCTTTAATAGAAGACTTGGCATTGAGAGTACTAAATGTTCCCAGACTCCAAAAATATCCAGACATCTCTGCATGCTCCATTCAACCTCCTCTCTATTTTGAGACAAAAACTGTAATTTGGTGCTCCTACAGTAGAACCTCAAATGCAACTGGGAGGCAGTTCCTGTAACTGCCTGCTTTGCAGGCTTAGCTCGCCTTTTAAGAATTGATTTATTTGCTTCTTAGCTGTGAGTATTAAGAACCCCGTCTTCCCCCGTGTATCTGGCATCTGGAACATATTGTGAGTCTGTTTACTTTAGGCCACGCAGATGACATCAACACTACCTTACTAAAACAGAAAGGCTTACAATTTGACAGAAAATCTTTAAACCTACATGGGTTTTGACAATTTGATGCAAGTTTTCCCATCTTAAAGAAAACCCAGGATATTAGAGCAAAGGAATCATTTCTTTTGCCTCAGGAGGAAAGTGCTCATGCTGAGTGACTACCTGTTAGACGGATGGGTTTTCCAGCATTGATTGCTCTGCTAGAAAAGGCCATTGACTCTTTCCTACAGGCCCACGTCTTGGCAAGGAAGATGATCGGAGGGCGGATGGTGACTTTGAGTGCACAGGGAGAGGCAGGTGTCCCACTTTTCATCTCCACTGATTAAGTGGTTGGCCTTGGGAAGTTAATTAAAATCTGCCGAATGGGGATAAAAATGGAGAGATTTCTACCTTGCAGGAAGGTCAGGTGGATTAGCAGTATTAACAGTACCCACATGAGGAGCACCTTCAGTTGCCTGGTGATAGGTAAAGTATGTTGAGATAATTAATTGCTACAAAAATACCCAGTCTCACAAATCTCTGTCTCTAATCAACCCAGGAAGGGGCCACAAAACCCAGTTTTCCTGAGCCACACTTGCATTGGCCCCATTCAGAGTTTGAATGTTGCCCAGAGCAATGTCTTATTTAAAACTCTTTTGACAGTTATTGCAGAGCCTTCCTGAGGGAGAATTTCTCCAGAAACCAAGCCAACTGAGCGTTTATTTGAAGAATTGACCTGATAGATGAATGGAGAGGATCTCAGTAACCAGGCCATTTTTACCTTGGCATTAAAGTGGATGTCAAAGCCAGGAAATGTTAGCTAATACTAAGAGCCAGAGGCCAAAGAGGATGGAAAATTCACAACAGTGTTTCTTTCGAACCCTATCTCACACCTTATTTGCTCCTCACCATACATGCTCAATATAGATTACAGCTGTGGTGAAGGATTTGGTGGAGGATACAGGAGATGTTGTGGTTTGTGATTGTGAGTATTGAATATCGATTAAACACACAGGCACTGGGGTCAGGCTGCAGGGTTCGAATCCTGGGTTTTCAGTTATTGAATGGGCATATATGCCCTTAAGAGAGTAATTTAGTTTTCTAAGCTTTAGTTTCTGCCTCCATCAAGTAGATGTTAGGATATTAAAATACCTACCTTATTAAGTCAACCACTTGTCTGTCAGTTTGTCACACTGTGGGAGCTTGCATGTTTCTGTGATGCTGGAAGCTATGTCACAGGTATTTTAAACACAAGCAGGATCCACCCATGGTGGACAGGTTTCAGATGAGCTTCCAGACTTAGCAGATTAGCAAGAAGGAAAGACAGACGACTTCTGAATTGCTTAGCCACTGAAAACCTTATAAATAGCAGTGGAACACTGTCAGGTAGCACCAGAATATTGAATACTGAGACATGATGAAGACCACCAAATACAGTGCCAGGAGATGAGCCCCTCAGGTTTGAAGGTACTCAAAAATATGAGTAGGCGCAAGCTACCTCCTCAAAGGAGAGTTGACCATGATGACATGATTGGAGTAAAGCTTTTGTGATGGGACACAACTCAAAATGAGAAACAGCTGTAAATATTCATTAAGAATCAGAACATGAAATGTAAGAAGTAGGAATGTAGGAAAATTAAAAGTTATTAAAAATAAAATCAAATGCATAAAGATAGATTTCCTAGGCATTAGTGAGTTGAAATGGATTGGTATTGGCCATTTCGAATCTGCCAATCACGTGGTTTACTATGCTGGGAATGACAAACGAGAGGAATGGCATCACATTCCCCATCAAATAGAACATTTCAAGATCTATCTTGAAGTATAATGGTGTCTGTGATAGGATAATATACCATATGCCTACAAATAAGACCAGTTAATATAATTATTTTTTAAAATTATGCACTGACCCTTAAAGTCAATAATGATGAAATTAATGAGTTATACCAACTTCTTCTGTCTGAAATTGATCAAACACGCAGTCAAGGTGTATTGATAATTACTAGTGATTGGAATGCAAAGGTTGGAAACAAAAAAGAAGGATCAGTATTTGGAAAATATGGCCTTGCTGATAGAAAAATTGCTGGAGATCACATTATAGAATTTTGTAAGACCAGTGACTTAATAACTGCAAACACCTTTTTAAAACATCATAAAATACAACTGAACACACAGACCTCACCAGATGGAATAAACAGAAATAGACTTCACTATATCTTGGGCAAGATGGAGGAAAAACTCCATATATCACCAACCAAAGCAAGGCCAGGGGCAAGCTATGGAGCAGATCACCAGTTGCTCAGATGTAATTTCATGCTGAAGCTAAAGAAAATTAAAACAAGTCTCCCAAGAACTGAAATATGACCTTGAACATATCCCACCTGAATCTCAAGACAGGTTTGGTGCATTAGACACTAGTGGCTGAAGATCAGAGAATTGTGAGATGACATCAAGAACATCATACAGGAATAAAGCAAAAGGTAAATAAGAAGATAAGAAAGAAAGAAAAGACCAAAATGATGTCAGAAGAGACTCTGAAACTTACTTCCCAGCATAGAAATGTTAAAGCAAATGGAAGAAACGAGGGAATAAAAGAGCTGAGTAGAAAATTTCAAAGGGCAGCGTGAGAAGGCAAAGTCAAGTATTATAATGAAATGTGCAAAGACCTGGAGTTAGAAAGCCAAAAGGGAAGAACATGCTCAGCATTTCTCAAGATGAGGTAACCTAACCAAAAATTTAAGCCTTGAGTTGCAATATTGAAGGATTCAATGGGCAAAATATTGAATGATGTAGAAAACATCAAAAGAAGATTGAAGGAATAAACAGAACCACACTACCAAAAAGAAATGGTTGATGTTCAACCATTTCAAGAGACAGTACATGATCAAGAGCCAATGGTACTGAAGAAAGAAGTCCAAGGTACGCTGAAGGCAGTGGCAAAGAACAAGGCTCTGGGAAATGATGGAATACAAAATGAAATCTTTCAGCAAACCGATACAGTGGAGGCACTTATTCATTTATGCCAATAATTTGGAATACAGATGCCTGCCTAACTGATTGGAAGATACCCATATTTGTGTCCATTCCAAAGAGAGGTGGCCCAATAGAATGCAGAAATCATTGGATAATGTCACTGATATCATAGGCAAGTAAAAGTTTACTAAAGATAATTCAAAAACATCTGTAAGAGAACATCCGCAGGAAACTTCCAGAGGTTCGAGTTGGATTCAGATGAAGACATGGAGTGAGGGATATCATTGCTGATGTCAGATTATATCTGTTTGGCCTAAAGCAGAGAATACCAGAAACATGTTTACCTGTGCTTTGTTGTCTATTCAAAGACTTTCTGGATCATGACAAGCTTTGGACAGCATTGCAGAGAATGAGTATTATGGAACACTTAATTGTGCTCATGAGGAAGCTGTACATAGACCAATAGGCAGTCATTTCAACAGAACAAGGGGGAAAAATGAATGGATGAAAATCAGGGAAGGTGTATGCTAGGGTTGTATTCTTTCACCATGCTTATTCAATTTGTACACTGATCATATAATCCGAGAGGCTGGATTATAGGAAGAAGTGGCATCAGGATTGGAGGAAGACTCATTAACAACCTGTGATATGCAGATATACAGCCTTGTTTGCTGAAAGTGAAGAGGACTTAAAATACTGATGAAGATCAAAGAAGGCAAAAATCCTCACCGCTGGACTAATAAATAACATCATGATAAAGGACAAAACGTTTGAAGTTGTTAAAGACTTCATTTTTCTTGGATCCACTATCAACACTCGTGGAAGCAGCAGTCAAGAAATCAAATGATCTAGTGTATTGGGCAAATCTGCTACATAAGGCCTCTTTAAAGTATCTAAGAGCAAAGATGCAGTTTGAGGACTAGGATATGCCTGACCCAAGCTATGGTACTTTCAATAGCCCCTACATGGGACAGCTGAACAGTGTAGCAAGGAAGATTGTAGAAGAATGATGCATTTAAGTTATGGTATTAGAGAAGAATACTAAAAGTATCTGGACTACTAGAAGAACTGACAAATCTGTGTTGGAAGAAGAACAGCTAGAATATTGCTTAGAAGCCAGGATGGTGAAAACTATGTCTCTCATAGTTCAGACATATTATCAGGAGGGACCAGTCCCTGAGAAGGACATCATGCTTGCTAGAGTGGAGGGTCAGCGAAAAGGAGGAAGACCCCCACTGAGATAGATTGGCTCAGTAGCAGCAGCAATGGGCTTAAACTAAACAACGATAGTGAGGATGGCACAGGACAGGACAGTGTTTCATTCTGTTGTGCATAAAGTTGCTTGCATTGAAACCCACTCGAGGTCACCTAACAACACAACCATAATACCATATTAAATTGGTGTGACTATTAAAGAGACAATGGTTTTCAGTTGGATCCTCTAAAAGCAAAGCCTAACTCAGACACTTCGTTTCTACATCATTAAGCAGGGTACATGAGTGAGGGAGAAGGGGAAGCTAGGTAGTGGCAGAAAACGAGAGACTCAGTGTGAGAATGTGCAATGGAGGTGGTCACTATTAAGTGTAACTAATGACTTTATCTTGTGGGACCACAGTCCAAGATGTGGTTTAAACTGCGTCTCAGAACATATGTCCAAGTAGAGAAAGGTTTGTTCCATTGGGTGTTAACACCTCTGGCTCTACATTTATGGGTGTCAAACAGGATTCTTCAGATTCTCAAGCCTTAGCACCATCATCGAGGTTCATAGTGGAAGTCAAGAGATGCATTGCCTGGCAGAAGTTGAAGCTTTGCCAGGTCTGCCAGACTGACTGTGCCTGTAGGGAAAGGTGGAATAAGAGGTGAGACCACAAAGACCTAAGTTGCAAAAGAGTTGACTTTAAGAGTCTGTAAAGGATTTGATATGATACCCCCACAAGGAAGGACTTAGTAGATGCTAGCTATTACTACGTATGGTCAGGCAAACAGTACAGAGATGGTCAAAGTAGGCTAAAATAGATTGAGGTTTAACAGAAGGCTCTGACTGTATTTTTGAGTTGGAAAACCTAACTCCTTGGAGATTTGCTTCTAATATTATATATATACTAGTCAGTTGTACTAAAAAAGAAATCTCTATAGCAACCACTTTTATCACTTGAAACTAAGTACCTCTGAATAGAAACACTCACACATGAATGCATGCTCAGAGGAAAGAGTAGAAGAAATTTCCTTATTTCACAAGAAGCTGAAATATTCTTGGTAAACTAATTTGACATGTGAAACAAGGGCATTTATTAGATGCCCACTATGCGGCAATTTCTCTAATTTTCATAGCAACCCACTAAGGTAGCTGTAACCCCCATTTTAGGAGTTCCTGAATGATGCAAAAGTTCAGCAGCTGGCTACCAACAAAAAGGCTGAAAGTTCAAATCCACCCCGAAGCACCTTTGAAGACAGGTGTAGTGATCTTCTTCCAAAAGATCACAGCCGGCGAAATCACTGTGGAATGCAGTTTTTACTCTGAAACACACGGGGACACCCTAAGTCAGAATCAACTTGATGGGAACTGGGTGGTTGGTTGACATTCCCATTTTACTGTTGAAGAAAATAGAAGGTAGAAAAGATGAAATAACTTGCCAAATGTCACAGTGCTCATAAATGACGGACCTGGAATCCCTAAGGATATGTCATTCTGTAGAATTGTATACTTTCCTCTGAACTCTATGGGAAAGTATCATTGATGAATACACATTTTAGTTCTTTTAATGTTTTAAATGGAGAAATCTCTAATTTAGCAACAATTTTTGTTTGCGGACATAAACCAGGACAGTCACATAATAAGAATAAGTTAAATTTTAAAGTTAAGAGTCATGCCTTTGGTGGGAAAAATGAATTTGTCAATATTATTAATTTGTTGATGGATTGGTTCATTCTAGTAAATGTCCCTCAGTTCAGCTTTCTCAGTGAGAGCATTAGATTTGAGTAGCTATAGGTGAATTGCTGTCCAAAGTGATATTACAGAAAGTGGGAGGCAAAGCTTGAAAAGAGGTCGTAGCCGTCCAGTGATGGGAATTGATTTTTATAGAGTCTGCTGTAAGCCAGATATTTTTGCATCGATCAAAACCCTGCAACAACTTTCTTAACAAGTAGGCATAGTCATGCTTAATTTGAAGCTAGAGTCTAAAGAGCCCAAGCTCTTTGGCCAGGATCAGAACTCGTTAGATGTACTAGCTTCAAGTCCAGTGTTGTTGTTTACTAACGGGCTGCTGAGGCAGACAACCAACCAGAATAACCAAACTCACTGTTGTCAAGTGAATTCTGAGCTGAGGTCCATAGGGGGTTCTTGGCTGTGCTCTTTACAGGAGCAGATTGCCAGGTGCTTCTTTCATACTGCTGTTGGTTGAGTTCAGATGACAAACCTTTTAGCCATTTGCTGCAGCCATGGCTCTGACTACTGGGGATACCCTCCTAAACCTTTTCTATGTCAAGTGTGGTCTGAGCAGCAACAGGGTTGGCATGCTTTGGGAGCTTCTTAGCAATACAGAACTTCAAGCCCCACCTCAGTCCTATTGAGTCAGAATCCCCAGATGATTCAAATGCACATTGAAGTTTCAGAAGCCCTGCCCTACCTAAACTTTGTATCCCATGTAGATATACAATATACTGATGGGTCACCTGCCTGGGTTCCCCACTAGGACTCTTATCTGCAAGAGTTACTGGCCAAGGCTCAGCCAATTACTCCTGGAGACTCAAGGAAAAGTCTCCCATAGCAAGAAACTAAAAGTCACTGCCATTCAGTCAATCCCAACTCATAGTGAGCCTAGAAGACGGAGTAGAACTGGCCCATACAGTTTCCAAGGCTGTAATCGTTACAGAAGCACACTGTCACAGCTTTCTCCTACGGACCAACTGGTGGGTTCTAAATGCCAACTTTTGGTTAGAAGCCACACGCGTAACCACTATGCCATCAGGACTCCTACCCACTGGTGATGTTATTGTTGTTAAGTGACAGGTATCTCTAATTGCATGGCTGACTTAATTTTAGGCTTAGCGTCTCCATGGTCTTCAGTGATAGTGGGCAGCTGTGCTTTTTGAGAGATGGTATATTTGGAAAAATATAAATGATTTATTCATTTATCTCAAAAACATCCAAGAAGGCTTACTTTGTACCAGTTCCTATATCCCCAAAGCATCCCCAGTCTACTGGAAAGATAAGCCAGTCTACAGACCTTGCTAACGGTGAGGGATAGATCCTAGCAGTCAGAAAGCCTGGGCTTCTGAAGGAGAGGGCCCATCTTATAATGTGTAATTGTGCATTGCCATTTCTATTCCTAATCTTTTCGTCTGCCTACAACAGGAACAGGACGACGCCCATTTGCAAGGGCCATCTGGGGCGCTGGGGCCCATCTCAAAGTGTGGTGACTTAGATGTCATCTTTGAATATAAAGCTTCTAGCCAGAAACTGACGCTGACCATTGTGAGAGCACAGGGCCTCCCAGACAAGGACCGAAGTGGGGTCAACTCCTGGCAAGTTCACATAGTGCTGCTGCCCAATAAGAGACAGAGGGGCAGGACGAGCATCCAGAGAGGGTCCAACCCCGTTTTCAAGGAGAAAGTCATCTTCACCAAGCTGGAGCCCAGAGATGTGGCTGCTTTTGCTGTCCGCTTCCGCCTGTATGCTGCCCGCAGGATGACCCGGGAGAGAATGATGGGAGAGAAGCTGTTCTATCTTAGCCACCTACACCCAGAAGGGGAAATGAAAGTGACTCTGGTTCTGGAGCCAAGAAGTAATATAAGTGTGAGTATGTTAAATGGTGCTGCTAATGAAACCGTGTGTCTGAGGACCTGGAATTGTCAGCCCTTGATTTAGTGCATTCAGCTTGTGAAGTCAGACACCTTAATTTAATTTTCCATTTGGCTCTTCTCATCCTTATAAGCCATGATTTGCACTTCATGGCACAATGGGTTTTTCATGCCTGTCTTCCCAATAACCTGATGGATGTATTCTTTCCTATCCATTTTAGGAAATACCAGTGATAGTGTAATGGAAGACATGGATAAGCCAGGACAGGTAGTTTGACCTTCTGGTTAGTGGATGAGTGGTGCCCCCTGCCCTCTCCACCATATGTATTATGATAAATATCAGATATGAGACTTTCTAGTAGAGATCCTTAGCAAGGTCATCTGAGCAAGCTACAACATCAGCCCTGAACCTCATCAAATTCCATGCTGGTGGTGGTGCTGGTGTACCATGGAGTCGGCTCTGACTCATAGCAACCCTGCATAGAGTTTCTGAGGCTGTAAATCTTTATGGGAGCAGATGGCCTCATCTTTTTCCCTTAGAATGGATGGTAGTTTCCAACTGCTAAGGTTAGCAGTCCAACTAGTAACCACTCCGCTACCAGAGCTCCGTGATGTGCCATGGAGTTGGTTCTGACTCATAGTAAACCTGTGTAGAGTTTCCAAGGCTGTAAATCTTTATAGGAGCAGAAAGTCTCATCTTTCTCTGGCAGAACGACTGGTAGTTTCGAACTGTTGACCTTGAGGTTAGTGGCCTGACCCGTAACCTCTACACTACCAGAGTTCCTAGCTGCTTCTGTAGACCTTTCATTTATATGGACTTCTCCCAAGTGCCTCATCTCTCGGCTTCTCTCAAGGTTCTAAGGAAAGTCTTTGTAGCTTATATGTCTACAAGATGAGAAGCTCTCTATTACTTTGTGCTATTGCATCGAGTGAGGAGCTCCCTTTAAACAAACATACAGGAAGGTGTCTTGAATATTGGACCAATCATTCATTCATTCATTCAAACATGTTTATTGAGTGCCTGCTGTATGTCAGGTGCTGCTCAGACAAATGGAGATGGAGGGAAGAATAAAATGGGATGCCTCTGCCCTCATAGAGTATGTAATCATTTGGAGGACAGTGACAGCAAACAAGGTGGGCAAAAAAGGGTGACACTGCTGCTGCTTGTGCAGAAGGGTCAGAGATTTCTTTGAGGTGGTGATGAAGTACAGAACTTGAGGACCTGAGGGAGCAGGCCTGGGCACTGCGTCAGTACTAGCATCATGTGGTTGGTGGTGGTTATGTGCCGTGGAATCAGTTCCAACTCATAGCGACAGTAGGAATAGCAAGTACAGGAGTATGGGAATGGGAAGGAGCTTCTCAGTCTGAGGACAAGGAAAAGAGCCAGAGAGTTTGGAGTGAAGTGAGAAGGGAGCTCATGCACTTGAATTTTTAATGTTGTTGTTAAGTGCCACCGAGTCAGTTCTGACCCATAGTGACACTGTATAGCATTTCTAAGAAACAGCTGGTGAGCTTGAACTGCTGACCTTGTGGTTCAAAGTGACTTAGCAGTCCAGTGCATTAGCTCACAGTACCACACCAGGACTCTATTACACCTGGCAGGCATCTCAAAATTAATACCTCTAGACTTGAAATATTGGTTCAAGCTCACTAGCCACTCCTAGGAAACCCTACATAGGGTCACTATGAGTTGAAATCAACTCAACGACACTTAACAGTAACAAACAACAAAATATACTTTGGGAGCATAGTGGCTCCATACTGGATAAACACTGAACTGTGAACCACAAGAAAATTTGAAGCTTGCTCGTCCTGCAAAAATTTAAACCCTATACAGGGTCATCACCATGAGTAGGAACCAACTTGATGGTATTTAACAACAACAAATCTAGTGTAAGGAGCTCTGGTGGGGCAATGTTTTGGTAAGCACTCAGCTGCTAACTAAAAAGTTGCCAGTTAAAACCCACCCACAGACGGCTCCACAGAAGAAAGAAGTGGACATTCTGTTCCTGTAAAGATTGTTGTTAAGTGATGTCTAGTTGGTTCCGACCCACAGCGACCCTGAACAGGGTTTCCGAGGCTGTAAATCTTTACAGGAGCAGAAAGTCTCATCTTTCTCCCACAGAGCAACTGGTAGTTTCGAACTGCTGACCTTGCGGTTCACAGCCTGATTCGTAACCACTACGCTACCAGAGAAACCCTTAGGGCCATTCTACTTTCTTACACAGTGGCACCATGATTAGTCTAAATGAACTCAGTGGCACCCGATAGCAAGAAGAGACCTATCTGCAGGTTTCCCCATCTGGAATAATGTCAGTGTCATCCTTCTAGAGGCTCAGGTCAGAAACCTTGCATGTCACCTGTTACTTCTCTCTTTTCCACCTAAAATTATATTGGCTTTCTCCATAAATATAACTCTGCTGAATTATTCAAATGGTCTCCTAATGGTGTCTCTACTTCTGCCAAGCTCCCCACCATACCCCTGTAAGATTTTCCAGCAAAGGGGCTAGAATGAGTCTTTAAAACAGGGGTGGGGAACATCCATCCCAAGGTCATATAAAGCCCTCGAAATAATTTGATCGAACTGTCAAACCAACCTGAATTCTAGCCATCAAATTATGGGTTAATTAATTAAGTGTTCTGACCACTCATCAGTCAGTTTGTCATACTGTGGTGCTTGCGTGTTAGTATGATACTGGAAGCTATGCCACTGGAATTTTAAATACCAGCATGGTCACTGTGATGCATAGGTTTCAGATGAGTTTCCAGACTAAGACAAACTAGGAGAAAGGAAAGATGGACTACTTTAAAATATTTTGTCACTGAAAACCTTATCAATAGCAATAGAACACTGTCAGATAGCACCAGATTATTGAATATTGAAACATGATGATATTGTCAGATATAGTGCCAGAAGATCAGCCTCTCAGGTCAGAAGACACTCATAATACGACCGAGGAAGAGCTGCCTCTTCAAAGTAGAGTTGACCATGATAATGCTGATCTTCATTTGATGATAGAGCACAACTCAAAATGAGAAGAAACATCTGTAACATCCATTAATAATCATAACATGGAATATAAGAAGTATGAATGTAGGAAAACGGGAAGTTATCAAAAATAAAGTCAAATTCATAGAGATAGTTATCCTAGGTATTAGTGAGCTGAAATGGACTGGTACTGGCCATTTTGTATATGACAATTACTTGTCATACTAAGCTGGGAATTACAAAAGGAATAGCATCATATTCATCATCAAAAAGAATATTTCAAGATTTGTCTTGAAGTAAAATGCTGTCTGTGATAGGATAATATTCGTACGCATACAAGGAAGACCAGTTAATACAATTATTCAAATTTGTATACCACAAAAGAGTCAGTGATGATGAAATTGAAGAATTCTACCACATTCTTCAGTCTGAAATTGATCAAATGTATAATCAGCATGTATTGATAATTACTGGTGATTGCATTGCAAAGGTTAGAAACAAAGAGGAAGGCTCAGTAGTTGGAATATATGGCCTTAGTGATAGAAATGATATTGCAGATCGCATGATATAATTTTGCAAGACCAATGACTTATTAACTACAAACGCCTTTTTAAACAACATAAATACAACTATACACATGGACCTCACCAGATGAATACACAGAAATCAAATTGACTACATCTGTGGGAAGAGATGCTAGAAAAGCTCCATATCATCAGCCAAAACTAGGCCAGTGGCAGATTGTGGAAGACATATGCAAGTTCAGGCTGGATCTGCAGAAAATTAAAACAAGTCTACAAAAGCCAAATATGACCTGGAACATATTCCACCTGAATTTAGAGGTCATCTGAAGAACAGACTTGATGCAATAGACACTAATGATAGAAGACCAGAAGAGTTGTGGGAGGACATCAAGAACGTCAAGAACAGGAAGAAAGCAAAAGGCCATTAGGAAGACAATAAAGAAGGAAAAATCCAAAATGAATGTCAGAGGAGACACTGAAACTTGCTCTCCATGTAGAGATGCCAAAGCAAATGGAGGAAATGAGGACGTAAAAGAGCTGAATAGGAAATTCCAAAGGGCAGCTTGAGAAGAAAAAGTCACATATTATAGTGAAATGTACAAAGATCTGAAGTTAGAATACCAAAAGCATTTGCCAAGATGAAGGAACTGAACAAAAAATTCAAGCTTCAAATTGAAATATTGAAGGATTCTATGGGCAAAATATTGAATGATGAAGAAAGCTTCAAGAGAAGATGGAGGGAATACACAGTTACTGTATCAAAAAGAAGTGGTCAGTTTTCAACCATGTCAAGAGGTACCATTTGAACATGAGCCAATAATACTGAAGAAAGAAGTCCAAGGTGCACTGAGGGCATTGGCAAAGAACAAGGCTCTGGGAATCCATGGAATACAAATTGAAATCTTTCAACTAACTGATGCGACACTGGAGGCACTCACTCATTTATGTCAAGAAATTTGGAAGATAATACTTGGCTAACTGGTGTGGTGCTGTAGGTTAATGTGATAGACTGTAAAGTCATTTGAACCACAAGGTCAGTGGTTCGAACTTACCGCCACTACTTGGAAACCCTGCACAGGGTTGCTATGGGTTGTAACCGACTTGACAACACTTAAAAATAACAATAACAACTTGGCCAACTGATTGGAAGAGATCCATATTTGGGCCCATTCCAAAGAGAGATGACCCAATAGAATGCATAAATCATTGGATAATACCATCAATATTGCATGCAAATAAAATTTTGTTAATGATGATTCAAAAATGGCTGCAGCAGTACATTGACAGAGAACTAACAGAGGTTCAGGCCAGACTCAGACAGCAACGTGAAATGAGGGATATCATTGCTGATGTAAGGTGGATCTTGGCTGAAAGCAGAGAATATTGGAAAGATGTGCTTTCACAAAAACTTTTGATTGTATGGATCATGACAAAGTATGAATCACATTGTGGAGAATGAATATTTCAGAATTCTTAATTGTGCTCATTAGCAACCCATATATAGATCAAGAGGTATTTGTTGGAACAGAACAAGGAAACACCGATTGGCTTAAATTAGGAAAGGTGTGAGCCAGGGTTGAATTCTTTCACCTTACTATTCAGTCTGTTTGCTGAGCAAATAATTCGAGAAACTGTATTATATGAAGAAGTCTTGGCAACAATACTGGAGGAAGATTCATTAACAGTCTGTGCTATGCAGATGCTACAACCTTGCTTGCTGAAAATAAAGAGGATTTAAAATACTTATCGATGAAGACCGAAGACCACAGTCTTCAGTATGGGTTGCACCTCAATGTAAAGAAAACAAAAATCCTTACCACTGGATCAATAAATAATATCACGATAAATGGAGTAAAGATTGAAGTTGCCAAAGACTTCATTGTGCTCAGATCAACCATCAACATGCATAGAAGCAGGAGTCAAGAAATTAAACAGTATATTTTATTAGGCAAATCTGCTGCACAAGACCTCTTTAAAGTGTTGAAGAGCAGAGATGTCAGTTTGAGGACTAAGGTGCGCCTGACCCAAGCCATGGTATTTTCAGTAACCTCATATGCATGTGAAAGTTGGACAGTGAAAAAGGAAGACCATAGAAGAATTGATGCATTTGAATTATGGTGTTGGAGGAGAATATTGAAAGTACCGTAGACGTCCAAAAGAACAAACAAATCTGTGTTGAAAGAATTACACCCAGAATGCTCCTTGGAAGCCATGAAGGTCAGACTGTATCTCTCGTACTTTGGACATTATCACGAGCTATCTGTCCATGGAGATTGGCATCATGCTCGGTCAGGTGGAAGGTCAGAGAACAAGAGCAAGACATCCACCGAGATGGATTGACACAGTGGCAGCAGCAATGGGCTTAAGCATAGCAATGATTATAAGGTGGGTGCAGGGCTGTTCAGGGTTTATCCTGTTGTGCATAGGGTCACTGTGAGTTGATATTGACTTGATGGCATTTAACAACAACAGTTGAATGTTTGACCCAATATTGTTGTTGTTGTTATGTGCCGTGGAGTCGGTTCCGACTCATAGCAACCCAATATAGCAGGCAAATTTTTAAGTTGATAATTTTGTATGTCCCATGAATGCTGATATTTTGGCAGAAAAAAGGCTCCTCAGCCAAGCTTAAAAACATAAGTCAAATTATGTCTGATTTGTTCAAGTCCTTATCTTTTTTTGAAAAGTTACCATTAAAGTAGATCTGAAATCCTGGTAAACAGAAACTGAAGAGATCAGAAGGAATCCTGCACTATGAAGCACACGTTAAGTATGATCATGCCCATACTTCTGTGTGCCAGGACCAGTGCTGTATGCTCGAAACACAGAGTTCAATTGGGAAAAGATGCCAGTGTGAAAGAATTTTACAGGTAAACATTCCCCCATCCACCAGTTACTTTCTGGGTAGGATTATATGCCAGCCATTAGACTATGTGCTAAGGACTGAAACATTTATACCAGGAAAAAGGATGAGGGGAAGATACGGTCCTCACCTGAAAGTCAGCAAACATTTCATCACTGGTATTATCCCTTTAGAGAGCAGAGCTATAAGGCATCTACAAAACCGCCTACCCCAGTTACAAATTGTGCTCTATGAAAGCCCAGGGTTCTCCTGAGATACCCATGTTTGGTAAATCCCATTTACCAAACATGGGTATCTGAGAAATCTTTGCCACCTTTTGCTACTTTACTCATTGGAGTCCCTAATAAGTCATAGGAAAGGATTGCTGAAAAGAAAGGCTTAAGCAAAATGCAATGCTCTCGTTTGTGCAGGAGGAGGTGGTTTACAGGCAGGCTGGCTGTCCTGCCTCAGCAGAACTGCTTAATTTGAAAACTGAATTTGGCTTCTGACTGACTCTGCTTTTCTCCTCTTGAAGTGTGCGGTGCGTAGTGGGTGCTCAGGACAAGGGTACACATAGCCAGAAGCTTGGAACTCTTCCCTGGCTCACCCTGTGCCTATTAGGTTGCTGGGGTCCATAGTCCCTGTATCAGCTTCTTTACCAAGCAGTTGTAAAGTACTCATTTTAAATTTAATTCATGTCCTTAGGAGGCTGAATTCAGCATCTGGCATGTACGTAACAACCTCAAAAAGCAGAACTAGGACCAAGTGCTGTATGTGGTGGTAGATGTCCAAAGGCTCCATCTTTTATAATTAAGACAAAATGCCTCCTGTATTGCTACATTCATTGAGAAGCTACAAAGAACAGAAACAAAACTCATGCTCGGAGTGGATAACCATAGAAACATCCAAGCACAAAGTACACAGGCGGGAATTTTTAGTCTTTATTAAATGTATTATTAGCTCTCCTTGTATCTTAGAGGGTTTGATTTACACTAGTAATAACATCTTTGTCCGTTTTGTCTTCAGAGAGGAAATATTGAATGGAGACGGCTCTTGAAACAAATATGTCAGCCAATAATGCAGAGGATCTCATCCATGACTGTGTTCCCCAGGCCCATTATAATTCACACCGAGTGCGCCGTTAGTAATCTTTGGCAGCAGTTGAGATTGGGTCACAATTTCACCAAACATAATATCAGCTGGCTGTAAAAAAGAGTAGTACAGCGTGGGCCAATGGAGTCTTTGTTGTTCTTCCCCTCCAGAGTGGAGAATCTCAGCTCAGCCCATCTGCAGTTTCTCACAGTGATAGTGCTTCATCTACGCAGTCGTTGTCCCATGGAGGGGCGCCAGAGCTGTTGGTGGGGCTGTCTTACAATGCTACAACGGGGCGATTATCTGTGGAAATTATCAAAGGCAGCCATTTCCGAAACCTCGCTGTGAACAGAGCGCCTGGTAAGTGCTCGTCTGCTCCACCAGCTCAGTTCATGCAAGTAGATGGCCACGGCTGCTTTCATCTTAATGTTTGAATTTTTCCAATAAAGAAGATCTTGGGTAGGTTTAGAAAAGCTGAACTTTTTAATACCTTTCTATTTAATTAGATTGAAAGCTACTTCAGTATCTAGGCACATCTTGGTACAAAATATGTTGGCTTCTATATCTGTATTTTTTTAAGGAAAACAGAATGAGGTCTTTTAGCAAAATAATGCATACAGTCAATTAAAATCTAATAGGTCGCAGTCCCTCAAATATCTTTTAAAAATGCAGAGCACAGGCTTTGAATGAGTCCAATCTGGCTTCAAATTCAAACTCTACCATTTACCCACTAATTTCACTCTAATCCTATGTGATTTACTTAACCTTTTATGAACCTTTGTTGACTTATTTAGAGCAAAAGGATACAAGTACCTTCTTATATGTTTTTTGTTTTGCTTTGTTTTGTTTTGGTGGGGGACTTTAAATGAAATGAATTATATGAAGCATTTAACACAGTGCCTAACACATAATGTACATTCAAGAAATGTTATGGAAAAGATTAGGATAGAAAAGGATGCAATGGAGGCAGATCTGGAGCTGGGGCAATACAGAATTGACCCCCAGGGGGGTTGCATGTCTGAGATCACCACCAGAATGGAGGGCTCAAGCCATACCTCCATAGCATGGTACCAGGTTCAGGAAGCCAGAATCAAATAGCCACCTCAACTGCTCTCAACACCCACAAGTTTGGAGATTGAACATTGGAATAATGATGTTAAAAATTTAGCTTGCCTTTTTGTGAATTTACTTGTCTGAAGAAAAAAAACAACAACAGCATAATAAGGGGCAAACGGAGCTGGTATCTCTCTCATTTCTACCTTCTAGGATTTATGAAAGTGCATTCAATTGGTGAAATATAATTTGCATATTGAATGCTAGCTGCAAGAGAGTCAGACTTGCCCATCATGGTACCAAATTCTTATTGAAATAAGGATGCAATGAATAAAAATGTAGTAGGCAGAAAGAGTAGATATACTCTGGACTCATGTCAGCAACAAGTATAGATCTAGCAGAGCTGGTAGTAAAAGTTCATCTCCTAGAACAAATCTGTACTCTCTTTTTTCTCTCAAATTTTCTGTAGTCCACAGAGTCTCTGTTCAATTGGGTAGGTGCTTAGGCAATCTGTATTATGGTCATTAGAAAAAGTTATTGTGAGTAACAGAATAGACCAGACTTTATTCCAAATTCGGTCTTGCTACTCAAAGTAGAGAGATATTCAAAATATAGACTAGATGCTGTTTATTAGTGTCACTGCTAGGGCTCTTTATTAGATAGAGCTTGTTTTAAAAAAATGGCTCTGGCTTTACTTAAGATCTGGAGTTACATCGTTTGTCAGTCTTCTTCAGGTGCTCCAGAGATCGGGTGATGTCTGAATAATTTTGAGGAGAGAACTTGATAAAAATGCAGAAAATGATGGGGATGTGGATCATACAATCATGAGTGATTCAAGTCTGTGCCAGGAATCTTTAATTTGTATGCTGGCGGTACCATTCAGGAGAAGTTGGTTGTTGCTGTCAATTGCCATTGAGTTGGCTCTGCCTTGTGAAGACCCCATTGTAGCGTTGTGATCCATAGGTGTTTTCATTGGCTACTTTTTGGAAGTAGATTGCTGACACTTTCTTTACTCTGAAAGTTCTGCTGAAACATGTTCAGTGTCACGGCAACACTCAAGCCTCCACTGACAGGTGAATGAGGTGCATTGGTGGATGGGAATCAAACCTGGGTCTCAGTTATGGAAGGCAGGAAGTCTACCACTAAAAACCATCATGTGCTGATTAAGAAAGCATCATCTGAGGACTGCTAAACCAAGGTGTGGATTCAGGCTTGGTCACTGTTTAACAGTAAGTTAATTAGCGTTTCTGAATCTCAGTTTTTGCTTACTGTCCATTCCATCAGTGTCTGATCACGTAATACTTCTATGGCCTGAGACCTTCAGTTCAGGCTCAAGCACCCAACTCTGGTGCCTCTTGGATCTCAAAACTGGGGATCTAGTTACTGAATTTGCCTGGTATGACCCTGTAGGGCGCTGACTGAAAGGTGTACGCACCCTGGTTCTCCCAGGGAGCTGCCTTTCAGAGCTGACTATGCAGAGAAGGCAGCAACAGCCAGGCCGGACCCAGCACAGTGCTCATCTGAGTCATCTGCATCAAGAGTTGTGTGGTCCACAGTTCCTGGGCCAGTGAGATTGGAATTCCTGCAACCCCTGAAGAATGGGTATTCCCACAAATCCAAATCACATAGCATCCTATTTCTCAGAACATATCATGCATGTTAAGCAATATTATACTTAGTATTTTTTAGGTAGGGATGATGCTTATAAAACTGTGTGTTAGAGACGGTACTATTGTGTCTTCATAAGTTTCTATGTAAAAGAAAATATGCAAAAGAGACAATACAACAAGTATTTAAAACCAAAATATTTAAAATGGAATAGAAAAAAACATGCCAAGTCTTAATTTAGAAATTTCTTTTATTCCAGAAGTTTAATCCAGTTTGGCATTTAGTGCATGCTTTGTCATAACCATAGTGTTGCAGTTCAAAATGTAGTAGTCATGCTGTATCTTTGCAACCAAAGTAATAGAAAACAATGTTGTTTGCAATGTTATTAATTAAAACAGAAACCCCAATAGTTCAAACCAAAGTTTTAAATTTTTCTAGAATGTTGATACTTGAAGAGAAGCCAGTTCAAGTAGAAGGCGATGAGAAATACAGGCTCCATTGTGGAGACTGTGAAAGGGACCTCTTAGTTTTTCCTAGTGCTTTAGATGTTGATGGTGTTAGTTCTTCGTTATGTCTCACTTCGTTATATCCGAGCACTACTTTCACAGTTATCAGACAGACTTAGGGTATATTTTTAGTTCCCAGATGGAAGAGAACAAGGGAGAGAGGATGAGGAAACAAGAATTCCATGAGGTAACTGAGCAGAGTTGGAGGGAAGAGGGGAAGAAGGCAAGAATACATAAGCTGGTAGGACATTCATAATGGAGCCATGAGTAGGGGTGACTGTGGGAGGAGCCAGAGGAAGCTGGCCAAGGACACTGTTCTTCATGGCAGAGGGAATGAGCTGGCTTCTAAAGTCCCACATCCTTGTATCGCTGTAAGAGAGCTCCTTGTGAGGAGCGAAACATGCCAGCAATGTGGCAGGAACATGTGAATGGGGGAGGGGAGGGGTCACAAATTCTATGCTTGCAACTCTCAGCTCAGATTCAATGACCTTCTTTGTAACAAGGGGGGCACTAATGACATTGATCCTGCCTTAGAGGTAATGTGCATTCACATCAAGGAGACTTCATAGGCAATCAGGAGAGAAAATAGACAGAACCAGTGTATTAGAAAATTTTCTTCTCTGGAATATTGTTAATGTTTTAAATCTTGCTGGAAATAGAGACAAAGCCTATGATTAAATGTGAGGATGTTTTGCTTCTAAATATATCATGAAACTTTGAACTCATTAACTTGACACAGGCAAATTATTATTTTGATATTTTAAACTTCCTTCCTAAGCAAGATAGAAGACTTGGAGTAACTTTTCCTCTATAAAGTTTGTAGACGAGATAAGCCACTGAGATGCAAGCCCACCTTGGCCCCTACTTCTGAGTTATAGCTTTGGGTTGATAGCTCAGTAAGAGACAGATATTGGGTTGATAGCTCAGTAAGAGACAGATATTGCTCTGATAGGAAGGAAATGGTGGCTGACTGTCTGTTTGTGTGCTATTGTGTTGGTTCTGACTCATAGTGACATTGTTTAGGGTTTCTGAGGTGTAAATATTTATGGGAGTAGAAAACTGCCTCTTTCTCCTGTGGAATACTTGGTGGATTTGAACTGCTGACTGTGTAGTTAGCATCCCAATGCGTAACTCACCAAGCCATCAGGCCTTCTTTGGAAATGGTGGGGTGACTGTTAAAGATATGTGTCTTTACCACACACCCAACAGAATGAGTAAAATTACAAGACAGATTTTACCAAGTATTGGTAAAGGTATGGAGCATATTTTAATGGTGGGAGTATAAAATATATAACAACCACTGTGGGAACAGGTCTGGTATTTCCTTTTTTAGCTAAATATACATTAACAATGGTATGATGTTATAGGATCAGCACAGAAATGCGAACCACAAGGTTGGCTGTTCAATCCCAGTAGTCACTCCTCAGAAACCATACAGGGTCATTATAAGTCAGAATGGACTCAGTGGCACTTAATAACAACAACAACACTAAGAATGTAGTAGCTCAATTCCCAGGCATTTACCCAAAACAAATAACATCATATATCAAAAAAATAAATAAAAGCTAGTACAAGAATGTTCATAGCAGCTTTATTCATAAAAGCAAAAACTAGAAAGAGTACTTAAGTTCATCAACAGGTGAATGAATAAACAAAGAAAGATATATGATGGAATATTGTGCAGAAATAGAAGGGGTGAAATTAACTGAAGTCTTCAACACCATTTGTTGTTGTCAAGTGCTGTGGAGTTGGTTCCAATCCATAGCAATTCTGTATGAAGTTTTCTGAGTGGCTGGTGGGTTTGAATCATCAACCTTGTGGTTCTAACTGACCTTGCAGTCCAGTGCATTATTCTGCAGCACCACACCAGGACTCCTTTCGACACCATTGAAAATCTCAAAAACCTACTAAGTACCTATTTGCAAAAACAAAACAAAAAATGTGGCACCAACCATACTTCACATGATACACTACTTCTCATCTGGGTTCAATAATCAATTACATTGGTTACAGGGAACTCAGAAACAATACAGTTAGGGGATTTGTTAGGGAAGTTAACAGATAACAATTCAAGATCAGATATGCTCAGGGCATAGTTGTTCCAGTCAGCTGCTGCTAAGTGCCCACAGGAAACACCATTCCACCATAAGCCTAAGCCTGAAGGCACTCAACTCCGGCTGAGTGGATCAGCAA